TCTTCACAAAATGTTGGTAATATCTTGCAAGGCCTAGAAACCCACGTAACTCCTTTACATTTTTAAGAGTAGGCTAGTCACGTACTGCTTTCACCTTTTCATCATCAACTTCAATTGTGGCCTCCCAAACAAGCATTTTTTTAAATTGATGCAAAACACATTTTCCTATAGGGTCTATAAGACAATACTTAAGTGGTCTCGGTGCTATTGAATAGAGAAATTGCATATCAAAATATCGTCAAAGAAGATCAATACAACTTTTCACAAATAGGGGCAAAACAAATCATTCATAGCTGCTTGAAAAGTGGTGGGTGCATTAGTCAAGCCGAAAGGCATGACTGTGAACTTATAGTGCCCAAAATGAGTTCGAAATGCTGTTTTGTAAATATCCTCAAGTTGCATCCTGATATGGTGTTATCCTAATCTTAGATCCAATTTGAAAAAATAAACCACCCCATGTAATTCATCTAATAACTCATTAATGTTAGGAATTGGATACTTATCAAGGATTGTAATATTATTCAATTTATAGTAATCTATGCAAAAACACCATGAACCATCTTTCTTTGCGACCAATAGTACTAGGCTGGCAAATGGATTGGAAGTAGATTGAATAAAGCCCTTTTTTAATAATTCTTCAACTTACTTCTCAAGCTCAGCCTTTTGATAATGTGGATACCTGTCAAATGTTGGGCAGGTTAGCCCCAGGTCGTAAGGGGATAGTATGTGAGTGAGTTCTAAATGGTGGCAAGTTTGTAGGTTCTTCAAAAAAATGCAAATTCTGAAAAGAAAGGTTTTGGGTTGAAATGTTGGAAAGATGTAGAGTCAGCGAAAGCTTCTACCTATTGCATTGAATTAAATTGAGTACCTCTAGTAGTGTTAGGGACTCCCTGTAGCTTATACCTCTTGCCATTCAACCACACAATCATAAAAAGTTCATTCCAATTGGCTTGCACCATATTAAGAGATGCCAGCCACTTAATGCCCAGTACCAGATCAGCCCCTCCTAATGAAAATGGAAAAAGAATCTTCTTTAATAATCAGCTCGGTGAGCTTAATTTCTATATCTTTACATACCAGATTACATCATACAATACTACTATTCCTAATTTAGACTCTAAAAACAAAAATATAACAGGTCGAAAGACGTAATTCTTGAGCTAGTGAGTCTGAAATAAAATTATGAGTGGACCCACTATCCACTAGTAACGAAACATTTTGTGTAAGTAATGTTCCTTTAAGTCTCATGGCTACCCTTGTGTTGCTACCTAATATAGCATTTAAAGAAGTTTTTGCCCCTTGTGTAGTATCATTCTTGGTTTCATAGCCTTCAAGGGGAGGGACAACTTTATCTCCTTCCTCTATGATCTCCAGGAGGGATAAGGACCCACGACAGCAGTGCCCAGGGTAGAACAAATCTCCATAGTGAAAACACAGCCCCTTATCTCTTGATCATTGCTGTTCAATATCTAGAGAAGAGTTTCTGGTTGACACTACAGTCGTTGGTCGAGATCCCCGTGTGTGTTGACACGAGTGATCTCTGCAAAGAAGATGAGGATGAGAGATCAGAGGTTCTGGGTTAGGTGGGTTTCTGGTTGACACTATAGTCATTGGTCGAGATCCCCGTGTGTGTTGACATGAGTGATCTCTGCGAAGAAGATGAGGATGAGAGATCAGAGGTTCTGTGTAACACACTAAAATTCTTTTTTTTTAATAATTTATTTAGCTCTAAATATTTTTCAAAATTTTTATTAACCCAAATTAACTATTAAAATTTAAATTGGGATGTTACATTCTGGGTTAGGTGGGTTGCATTTTATTTTCAATTTCTAAAGATACTCACTGCCCTGTATACCTATTGAGGCTTATAGATGCGCACGTCTGATCGAAGCTCCTCCTTCAAACCATTCAGAAAGACACAAACCAAGCAGTGTCCCAGCCAGTTCTTCACTCTGGTTGATTGTTTGGCAAATTCTATGCAATAGTCTTGTACTGATCCCTCTTGCCTAATGCTATCAAGAAATTCATTTGGATTTTGGTATTTCAGTTATCTAAAATTCTCTTAGAATACTGTTACGAGATCATCCCAATAGTAAAGAGTTGTTTCAGAGCTGATCCAAGCAAATAATTCTAATACATCACCCTCCAGCAATAGAGATGCTATATCCACCTTCTCTTCTTCAGGTGTGTTATAATATTTAAAGTATTTTTCTGCCTTTGAAATCCATCCTCGTGGAACACCTCCATTAATCTTTGGAAATTCAATTTTTGTCTGATGAAATCTGGTGCGTTTGCAGTTTTCTCATTCATCTTCATAATAGTATATACAATGTGTACCTCTAAGCTTCTTGATTGCAGAGGTTTCAAGTGCCTCTACCTTTTCTTTTAATAAATTTAGAGTTTCGAGTTTTCAGGTGATTGCGGCGAAATGGTCAGACATGAGTGAGTTTGGATTTTCCAGGTCATTGTTGGATGAGTCGTCAGAAGGATTGGTTTCTTGGCCAGAATGTGTAGTAACCATGACTTTGATACTGTAATATCCTGATTTTTATATAATAAAGAAATTGTGAAATTTAAGTTTTGAAAAAAAATGATAATAATAGGAATTTATATTATTTGAGGTTATTTAAAAATAATATTATGATTAGGTATTTAATTATGAATTTAAAAATTTAAATTTAAAACCACATAAGCAATATTTAGTTAAGATATAATACATAAATAATTTTTTTTATGTGTGTGTTAAAAAAAAAGAGAAAAGGTAGAAGGAACAAAAAAATGGGGGGTGAAAGGTTGTTATTTCTAAGTCCCACATTGGTTAGATGAGGGAAGAGAAGAGGTGCCTTCATGTATAAAAAGGAGGGAGATGTGTGCATTAGGAAGCATGAGAGGCTAAGATGCAATTTAGAGGAAATTGTAACTTTTGGCCCAAAGGTTTGAATAATTAAATTCAAACCTATAGTTTTTTTTTAAATATAATTTTGGCACTCACAATCTCATTTTTATATTATTTTTCTCTCTTCCTCTCACGTTGCTCGGCGTTTTCTCGCAAGGAGGGATTATTTTCTTTTTCTTCAGGTATGTTCTAACTTTCCTGTTTAGATTAGCATTTAAAAATTTATTTAATTACAAAATTAATTTTATAGTTATTTTCTAAATAATATTAGCTTTCTAGTGATATGATTATTTTGTAGGATAGAGTAAATATTTTGATTAGGATTTTTCTATAGGATAGTTAATCTGATGATATGATGGATTAAAAATATAGGTTAAAATTCTTAGGGATATAAAAAATATTATAGAATATTTTTTTAAGGTTGAAACTCATGTTTAAGAATTTTTGAGTTAAAATCTAGATCTATATAGTTGAATTTATGTGGAATCTGAGACGTAGGGATAAACCTATGATTATTAAATATTTACTTAAGTATGAATAGGTATTTTTGAGGTTATAGAAAGGTGATTTGAGGCTTCAGGATAATTTTAAAATTTTTAATTTATTTTTGGATGAATTTTTAGAATATAGAAGGATGAAATTGTGATACTAGAAGTGAATTGAGGATAAAAAAAAATAGTTCATTAGGGTACGAGAATTTTAGAAAAGAATTTGGGAAGTTAAATGAGGCATAAATCTTAAATTAGTATTAATATAGATTATAGATCTAAGACTTTCTAACTCTTTAAATTAGAGTTATTTATTTTAATGTAAAATTAATATATAGTATTGTGAAATAATTATGTAGATTATATTGACAAAGATAGTGGTGAAAAAGGAGTTGTGAAGGGGAACTTGTTATTCAAGACACAAGGTAACCATTATTAATGTGTTGTGATGGGTGTGTTTGTGAATGGTTATGTGTTGTTTTGTTGTTTGGAAAAATTATAAATTATTGAAAATAAATACTGTTATATACTTCCGTGAAATCATTGCCAAGTGGGTTAAAATTTATTTTTGTTTATCATGATGAGATATTATTGTTCGGATACATTTCTGTTTAGATATTTGAATGATGCATGACTTGTCAGGGTATTTTAATGTATGGTGTTAATGGGAATTTCTGTTCGGTTAATTATTACCACGTGGTAAGCCCTCATTGGACCCAATGAGTGGCATGTCGCTTGGTCCAACTCACCTTTGGCCAGGTGATTTGGCGTCCAAGCATGGCGAAAGGAGGATATAAGGTGTAGTCATGCAAATTAAATACTTGTTCGGTTTGTTTAAAAATATTGTTCGGTTAAATGTTTTGTGTGCCCACTTAGCAATCGCATGATTAGTTACATCCGCATGCATCATTACATATTAATTTTTGGTTACTGGGACTTTTAAGTCTCATTCCTCGTGGTTAATATTTTTATAGGAGCGAGTCCGGCCGAGAAAGCACCAGAGGTGTAATTATGGTGTATGAGACACCATCTTTTACGTTACCTCTTATTTTGGATTATACAATGTATTTTGTGCCAACTTAGGACATATCTTTTTTGTGGAACATGTAAATTTTAATCCTTTTTATTAAATGCATTTATATGTTCAAGAGGATTATGTTTGTCCCTTTTAATTTATGACCTGATTTGAATAACATGCTATGAGGATCATGTCTGTCCCTCATGGTTCTAATTGCTTTTTTTGAGATATTTTAAGACCTGTGGTATATTGTCTTGGATGTATCATGGTAAGAAAATTTTCTACCATGATAATGGTTTTAATAATTTACGAAAAATCGGTTTGTATTTTTGAGGGTGTTACAGATACCAAATGATAGGTGCTCATGATGATTAAATAAAATAAAAGAAATAAATCTATTAATGGTATAGAACAAAAATCTCGTTCTATATTTCTTTTAATAGTCAGGCTTAGAAGAATCTCTAAAGGATTCAAGAATAGTTTTATTGACGATGATATGCTAGCTTCTAAGTTGTTAGTCATATTTATAATGCTAAATACAATATAAAATACTAAATAAGATCTAGATAACTAGATAACTAATTAGAATCTCCTAAAATCTAAATTACTAGATAAAATCTAAATATCTAAAATAATGAATGATAAAATAAAATCTAAACAACTAAATAGATAAATAAAATCTAGGGAAATATCTAAATAGAAAGCTAAATAAAATGCTGAATCAAATAATAATGAAATCTATCCTAATTTATCTTTTAACGCTTCCTTCTTGAATAAGTCTTTATGGGTATATTATCTTCAATCTTATCACACACACAGATTGAGACTATTGAGCAATTTCTACTGCATATTTCACAAGTGACAATAAATCAAGATGTTCCATTCATCTTTACTAAGAATAATAATTAATGATTAGCTAGGAAGCACTGCACATGTTGCATCCGGCAACATCAATTGTAGGAATCAATCAACATAGAGAGTTCAGCTAGTCAAAAGCAAGATCCTTTGAATCTAAGAAACAGTGTTGGATTTTCAGTTCATTTCCTTTAGGATAGATTTTATCCAAGTGATTCTGTTGAATCTAAGAACAGCTAGTTCAGCTATCCAAGTGATTCTCTGATCATGTTTAGCAGAAATATTATGAACAGAACATAGGTTACTCCGCCCATTAAACGTATCCCTGCTTGCTGAAGATTAAATAGCAAATATTTGTTTCCATGTTTGCCATGAAGTCATAGGATCTGCCATCTAGCCCTTTTTGCCCATCATCCAGTTTTAGTTTAATGAAACACATATAAAGCCAGCTCTCAAAAGTTCTGATATATATATATATATATACACACACAATGGAACAAATAAAAGATAAAGAGCGACCAAACCATGCACATTTTGTCCAATCACAAAGAAGGAACACAGAGAAGGAATATGTGTTCGTTCTAGTGCTTCTAGCTAGCCAAGTTTCACAGACTTTTTACAATAGACATCACAAAGAGTGACCAAACCATGCACATTTTGACCAATCACAAAGAAGGAACACAGAAGGAATATGTGTTCGTTCTAGTGCTTCTAGCTAGCCAAGTTTCACACACTTTTTACAATAGACATCACTACAATAACATACGCTCTCACCTTGTATAGCACTTTTCTTCCTTCAATAATGCTAGACTAAACCCAAGACCGCCTATTCCTTTTTTATCCTCGTAAAAGCCAGTCTTCGGAAAATATAACCCCCTTTAAGATTTTAGCCCACAGTTGATATGGTTCCTGTTAAATTTCCCAACCCATCTTAGCTAATAAAGCAAGATTATAAGCCTAAAAAAAACATGAAAAAAATTATATAAAAAATTCAGTCATAAATTAATAATTTCAAACCCAAAAAAAAAAAAATCATATCAATCAAATGTTTAACAAAATTCATAGTCCAATTTTCTATTTTTTTTAATTTAATAAATATCCTTCACTATTCTAAATATATTTTTCCTAAGAAATGCTAAAGTCTCTGTTTTCTCAATTCAATAAAGAATTAAACTCTTCTAGGCCAAGACGGCAGCCAAACATATACTTTTTATGATAAAAAAAAAAAATCTTATCACAGTATAATATCAAAAAGAAAGCATTAGCATACCAAATTCAGTAGAAGCATGGTACCATCTGATCTAAAGATCAAACACTCCCATAAAAATCATCCTTGATTCTAACCATCATGTCTTCTCAACGGATCAGCCAAATCAGGACAGACCAAAATATACTAATCTTCTTTCACATCAATATCAAAATTTTTAACAGCATCCAACTTGGAATTACAAAATATCTTATAATCACCCAACACAGAATTTCATGAATCTACAATCTAAAATAAATCAAAGATAAACACCGGTGGTGAAGTCAAGATGCAAAGTCAGGGGTACAAAATAATTTAACAAAAATTAATATTTTTTAAATAATAATTTTACTAGGACTAAAATTGTAATAACAAAAATTGATTGATCATCATTTTTTATTTTAAAAAATATCATATTAAATATGTTGATACAGTCTTTTATTATAAATATACTTTTCATATATAATCTAGATTATTAAAATATTATATATTCAAAAATTCTTTGAATTTAAATATTTTTAGTTTAATTCAGAAGGTGCAAAATATAAAGAATAGGAGTGCAAAATTACAAAATTTACATACTCTATTTGTAATTTTCCCCAAAGACTCTATTTGTAATTTACATGCCTTCAAGATAATGGGGCTCCGCCACTGATAGACACATATCTAAGGTATTTCCATGTGGCAGAGTTTGAAATAGCTTACCTCAGTTGCAGTATTTGCAGGCAGATCCTGTCCTCCCATAGCCTCCAGATTGTAAATTATTTCCTCATGATCCAATTATCTAGAGACATTCTTCAGAAGCTGTCGATTGTAGCATGGTTGGTCACTTATGGCCTCTAACAAGATGATCCAATTATGTTGGTGAAAGAAGACAAAGATCTTCTGTATTCCCCTACGAATCAAGAAGGAATTCTGAACACTACGTACTCACCACAAATTCCTACCACGATTCGATCCAGTTCTCTGATCCCCAAACTTTCTGCAGTAAAACCAGTTTTCGCCGATGACAGTTCAACCAACTTCGGTGATCACGGTCGGAGAGATTTACGCCCACACATGGGGGAACCCTAAGAGAGAAAGATTCAGGAGATATCCTGACTTTCAGTCGCTCTTCTAACATTTAATCCGAAACAGAAGGAAGAAACACGTAAACCTCCAAACTTTAATTTCCAGCAACATAAATTGATTCAAGCATAAGAATATTTTACCTTGCAAGCTTGTGGGCTTGACGGAGATCGGATTGTCCTCATGAGAGGAATCACCATTTTTTTTTTGTTGATAAACGCAGAAGATTGTAGCCACTCTGGGGATTGAGAGAATGTAATACTACTGAGACTGTGAGGGTATTGTGGCTATTTGCCTGTGGAGAGCAGGAGCGTCATGTTTTACAGTTTTAAAAAAACTCAACGGCTAGTGGTTTTGTGATCGTTGGATGGTTATTTTCAAATGTATTAATATATCCCGAAATTAAAAGCGTATAATGAATCTAATTTAGGAAGCTAATTATGGGCCCCATATCCAAAACCCAAATTAAATATGGTTGGGTGGTTCATTTTAAAAAGGATTAAATAAATCCGGAAATGAAAAGCTTATAATTAATTAATCTAATTTAGGTGAGGTAAAATATCCAATTTAAAAAGCTAATTATGGACACCATATCCAAAAACCCAATCAAAATACCATCGGATAGTTCATTTTCAAACGGATTCAATAATTCGGAAGACAAAAGCTTTAAAAAAATAAAAATTAAAGTGGACAAGCATAGCTTGAGGATAAAATAAAATTACAGGACAGACAATTATATCTTTTTGTCATTAATTTTTTTTGCTGAAGTAAAATTATACTTCAACAGATTACAAACTAAAACCTGAAACAGAATTAGGCGGATAACACTGTTAATCTATTAAATTATAATTTCAACCAGCACATATTAAAAATGTCAATTACGAGTCAATCTATTTAATACTGTAAGTGTCATCTCATCATTCTTTTGGGTATAATAAAAAATAGGGGGACTAATGTCGCATACAAAGTAAACTAAATGGACTTGAAGCAATCAAAATAATTATAATTAGAAGCCTATATCAAAACATATTAAAATTATAAGGCAAGAGTTTATGTTTTACCTAATTTTAATTTTCATGGGCCGGAAGGGGCACCCCAAATCACATTGTGTTTGGGGCCCAGCAACTCCTAAATAAATACACTTGATTTTTTATTTTGGTAGAATTGAGGAGAGTGATATTGTTGATATGCAATTATATGATTGGCAAATGTTGAATGCTCCCTTCGGCCTCTGTTATTAATTAATGGAAGAAAACGGTTAAAATTCTATTTGATCTTATCTTATCTTAATCTTAATATAAAGAGCACTCGTAATTTTTTATTATTATCTCTCACTATTTGTTTTTTTGACGAAATCTCTCATTAATTTTAACAAGTTGGCATGCTTGTTAAAAATCTAGTGGACAGCATCCACTTTATTGTGATCAATAATTTCAGTGAAAAGTAAAATAAAATTAGAAAGTAAAACATTTTCTACAAGTTTAATTTAAGCATATCAGTTACTCGGAGTCATATTTGTGCGTACGCGTGCGCGTATACATAGTCGCACGGTAGTTCTAGCAAAAAGTTGTGGTTATTAAAAGAGTTTGTGTATCAAAACTGCTTATTTTTAAAATTTAGTATATTTATTAGGAGCAAAAATGCATATCAAAGCAATCTTTGAACAATTTCAATTATATAACATTTTTTAATTCTTGTGAGTTAATTATAATTATCAATGATTTATAATGAGGACAGGACGTAGTATGCATTGTTTAAAGATCAATAAGTTAATTTAACTTCTTCCTATAATTGGGACAACGAGATCCTGCATTGTTTAAATATGCATTAGTTAATTAGTCAAATTATTCAAGATAAAAATTACTAATCAATATACTCTATTCAGATCCCAATATAAGATATCTTCTAGAAACCTTACCTAGTCCAAAATGTAAGGTATTATATAATTTTTATATTTGTTTTTCTAACTATACTCCTACTTCATTTATTACTCTTATATAAGTTATTTAATAAAGCTATAAATAAAAAGATATGGACATTTTTAAAAATTTAAAGTTTTAACTAATATTATTCATAAATCGTGAATTAATTAATTATGATTTATATTGCCGTTTGGAAGGAGCATATGATATTAATCAAATTTAAAAGACCATCCTTTGGCTTTTATAACTTGACTTTATTATCATTTTTGTTTTTTGTTTTTACGTTTGGGAAACTGTTTTCATTCTATTCAAAAAAGAAAAAAAAAGAAAAAAAAAAAAGAAACCACATAATCTTAGATTTAAATAGTTCAGTCCAACAATCCAAAAGTTTTCTCTTAATCCCACCATATATCAATCAAGTAGCATATATCATCCTCGTACCACGCAAGAGCCTATCCTTAAAGCTTGCTCGCATCTATTCAACTTATGGAAAATTGGAATATTATTATCCACAAATAACTTAGAAAATTAATTAATTTAAAATTAGGAGAATTAAATTGAAGTCTTCATTAGTTTAATTGTCAATGAATCTTGAAATAATTAATTTCTTTTGTGTAGGACCTGGTTAAGTTATTGCACACCTCTATACATCATCATTTCACTATATATGTGCGACCCTCTTGAAGTAGAAGAATGTGGATAAGTCGAAGAGCGGTGAAGAGAAAGAGGAGGTTAAGGTTACTGACATTGTTGCTGTAGGTATCGCTGTTCTTGTTGTTGGTATCATTGGAAGTGTGTTTGGTATCTGTGGTTCTGGTTCGAAGAGTGGAAAAACGATGAAAGTTCCAGGAAGAGACTATAGTATATTTAGAAATAACTTTGAAGGTGATCCTTCAAGTTACTTTCGTGGCTTACACGAGTAGAGATTTAAGGAAGATATGAAGGATGGCTTTTATTATTGTTGGAAGCTCTGATTATTGTTTTTAGGGTTTAATTTCTTTAAATTTTGATCAGTCATTGTCATCTTGCTTGTTCTATTTTGTTATTATCTTGTTTAAATATTTGTTGCTTGAGGAATGAATTTGATTTATCTATTTCGTAAGATCGTTATTTATAATTAAAATGATATATCTCCTTAATTTTTATTTCAGAGAAACAAAACAAATTTTTACAAATAACTTACCTAATTTCCTTAATTTATTTGATGAATTTTAGTTAACTCACTCCTATATTTAGCGTGCGTGTGAAGAAAGTAAACGTCTTTCATTCTCTTGGTTCAATTCTCTAAACTATAAAGCCACCCCCCCTCTCTCTCTTAGATGCTTCTGAAGTATTAAGTGATGCCCGCAAAAACTAATAGACAATGCAAGTATATGGATCATAACTAAAACTAGTGATAAATCAAGGTCGACTTCTTAAAGAATTAATTATAATAGAAACTAGGCATTAAATTTTTAAATTCATTCACTTTAAACTAATAAAACTTGAGATTGATTTTCAAAAAATAAAAATAAAAGTATTAGAAGTGATCAATTAAAATAACTTTCAATCTACAAACAAGCTAAAGTCAACTAATTAAGAGAAGAGAGTTCTTGAGTCCTAATCCCCTATTTGCTTTCAATCCACATTATTAATTGTCTTGAAATCCAATTTTGATAATTTGAAAATCTAAATTAATCTAAAGTATCTTCCGAATACTAAGGACCCTAATTAATTAACTTAAAGCAAAATATTACCTCAATTAATTAATTGCATTAGAGACCTTAATCTAAGAGGATTACCTTGGTCCATTAGATACACTCCTGTTCTAATAGCTAAACTAATCCTAGACTACTAATTCAAGGTTTAATTTGAGTTTCCTCTTTCAAGGTAACTAAACTAACTCAAATGCCCAAATCTCAGCTAGTGGTGGCCAAACACTAAATAAGAATAGGAAAGCTTAAGAATAAATAATCAAAACTTTATTTTTCAATAATTAAACTGTAAATCAAAGGTTATCTACACAAATATGTTCTAGAACAAAAATATTTAGCTACACATGATTGATATAAACACCATAATAGCCATGATAAAGATCGAATCCATCAACATAGAAAAAAAGGAAGATAAAACATCGATAAAATGAGGTAGACTGAAGATGTGCTGCATTTCTTAATCCCAAGCTTCAAGACTTGCCCCTTTGTTCCCTTAAGGTTTCATCCAGTTGTAGTAGCTCAAAGCTCGCTCCTGCTAGCTCCTTTGGTTTAGAAAAATGAGTTTTGTAGAATATTTTCGCACAGAAAATGAAACAATGTGTTTTTGGATTTTGGTCTGGTGCCATGGCACTCCTTTTGTGGTGTCATGGCACTATTGAGTAATTTTGATAAAAATTCTAACAATGTTCTAGAACTTTTACTTTGGAATTAGAGACCACTTTTCCTTGATTCCTTTCTCTTTGTTGCTTTAACTTTTCATTCCCCACCTATTAACAATTAATATTTCTAAGTGGAATATTTGCTTACTTTGATTTCCTATTACAATAAATCCATATGAGGTACTTAATTAATTTCTTTGAAAATGCTTCTCATTTTCATTGATGATTCTCAAAATATAACCAAAAATATATTAATTATAACATGAAATAGAGAGTCATTACACCTCCACACTTGAATTTGATCTTGTCCTCAAGATTTTTGAAAATAATTAAACGCAAAAGAACTAACTAAACACAAATATAGCAAATATCATCAAGTTAGAAGTACTTAAACCTTGAAGCACTCAGTCTACAAGAGATCAGTCTACCTTTTAAAAGAATATGATCAACAAGGTAACTAACTAGACAAAAATAAATCACAAAAGGTTGTCACCTATGGCTTGTTTCTCATCTCCATCTCTACCCAATACGCACACAAATTAAAAGGACTTTATTAAAAGTTGTAATATAAGATGATGAATGTGGAAAAAGGAAAATACCATCAACTTTAGTTAATGCTAAGCATTTCAAGGTATGAAGGAATTTCAACAGGAGGAGATTCCATTCACTGAAACCAACATTCTTTTCTAAAACTCAATCTTTTGGTTATGACGATTATCACTTTCTTTCTTGTTCTTTAAAAAAGAAAAATCTTTTCCTTCTTTCTTTCTCCCTTTGCTTTTTCTTTCTTTTTCTCTTTCTTTTTGAATATTGTGCACCAAAATATAAGCTCTTCAACATGATGGTAATATTAATTGTTTCAATTTCTTTTTGAGATTTTGATGCTTAGCATGTCCTAAAGTAATGGTATAAGAAAAATTATGTTGGTTCAAATAAAAAGGCTAAAAATTATTTTTTTAATGATAAAAATTAGGTCAAGGTTTAAATGGGCATAGTAAAGGATAAGTGTGACAAGGATGGTCATTTGGCCAAACCTTTTGCATGCACTTCATCTTTGTACATGCAAAAAGATTTGTTTAGTAAATTCTCTCAATGGAAAGTTTATGCTTAAATTCCTCACAAGCATTTTTAGACTTGCTAAGTTGAATTATCCAAGCCCAATTCTTTACCTTATGGAAAACATCTAGTAATAAGGTAGAATCCTAATCCAAACCTTATGGAAAACATCTAGTAATAAGGTAGAATCCTAATCCAACTTAATACCCTCAAGTTCAAATTCAACTAATCTTGACAACCTTCTAAAATAAACCAAACAAGACACACAAAAGATTTCTTTTTAATATGTACTAAAAACACCAATATTTACAAAAACTGAAGACAATTAATCAAAGATAGACACTAGAACACAATAATTTGAAGACAAACAAGGCAACACAAAGTTAAGTTCACCCTTCCCTACACTTGAACAACACATTGTCCATACCAATAGCATTAAGCTTCGTGGAAACCTTAAAACTATAAATTTAAGGGTTACACCAATAGCATCAACCTTCAAAAATAAACATTTGCTTTCAATTGTGTCAACACTTTGAAAATCAAAGTGATCAAAGTCCAAAGAGGAACACCTCCTTAGAATCGTGGAACTGGTGATGGCCATTGATAGACTCCTCTAGTCGATAGTACCAACAGACTTGAACTTTAACATTGACACCTTAAGAGTCAACCTCAATCCACTCGATCCTGGCTCATATAGGACGGAATGAAAATTAAATTAACAATAAAAACAAGAAACTGACACTCTCTTGACAAAATGGAGAGATGAAAGTGATTTAAATGTAGAAAGAGGATAGAATCAAGAGAAGGGATTAAATACAAACTTGAGTTTTAAAAGAGGACCTTGAAGTTGAAGAGTTTCCACTTGAGTAGAAGGAAGAAGGAAGTTTTGCACTATAATTTTGATTAGAGATCAGTTAGGAGTAATTTAGAAGTGAAATTAGGGGTCAAATCATATCTTAAGTGAAAAAAGTTTAGATATTTAGGAATAATTATTCAATATGATGGGGAAATTGATGAAGATGTTTCACATAGAATACAAGTAAGGTGGTTTAAATGAAGAAAGGCTAAAAGAGTTATTTGTGATAAAAGGTACCTATTGAACTTAAAGGAAAATGTTAGGGAACTGTTATAATATTAAATGGTAGTGAATGATAGTCTTTAAAAGTACAATAGAAGTATAAAATTGAAACAGCAGAGATGAAAATATTGAGATGGACGTGCAAGTATATATGAAAAGATAAAATTTGAAAGAAGCATATATGAGAAAAAGTGAGAGGGAAAATAGTAGAAAATTATTTTAGATGGTTTGGACATGTAGAGAAAGCTATGTGAAAGACTTTTGCTGGTGTAACAAGCCAGGTATGCTCATATTTTAGAGCTCAAAGTTATCATCATCTTTTGAGGTATGGTACCTCATAACAATTTTTTTCTTTTGAAAGAGAAATATTATACAATCATTCAAAATGAAAATTAAGTAAGGTACAGTAGTCCAAAATAAAGAAAAACAATAATAAGCAATCCTAAATAGAGCAGACAAAAATCTAGATCAAAAGAGAAGTAAAAGAAAGAATAAAAGTAAGTCCCCCTGATAATTAAGGCACGAGCGGTAGGCATCTCTCAATTATAGCAACCATATCTCGTAACATAGAGACATAATGCTAAACTTGCTTTAAGCGTGCGGTAAGATCAGTAAGCATTTGTAGAATGCACTCCTCACAAATGACTCGGATGGTATACTTGGCTTGTTATTAGTAGGTTCCACCTCTTAGTCCATAGTTGCATTTAAAGTCTTGTCTTCAATGATTGCATTCATAGGGGACTTCAACTTAAATGTGGTGGCTCCAATTAATCAGTAAGGAGTGCCGAAACCAAGGAAGAAATGAGATGAGGATAAATCATAATAAAATTAGTAGCCTTGGTGTCCAGGATCATAGCTTGTATCACCGAAGTCAAATTGGACTAGATTATGGTTGCTAAGTCAACTGATTGTTGCGTCATAATACAATATATCAACACAGCTCTAGCCTCTAAAATTTTATGAACATAGGAGGTAGGCAACACATTGTGAATAGAAAAGTAATACTAGAACTTAAAAGCTTTGTGTAAGTCTAAATGGTGAACTCCCAAATTCCATTTAGCATCTTGTAAAGTCAAGTGATTAGTGATCTATTCATAAAGGCAAGTTGACTTGCCGCAACAAGAGTTAATTGCTGGAAGGTTATAATAAGTTTGTATGGAATCCACATTGAAATGAACAAATTTGCCTCTCACATAAGATGTGCCTTCTGGATAGAATAGAGCATTGGCAAAGAACTCATGCACTAAAGATAGGTAATTAGTTTTTGGAGGGAAGTAAAGTAGTTTCTATTAGTTAGCTTGAATAATTTCATAAGCTAGGTGCAAGTGAATGCGTATTCTTATATTAGTCAATTATTGGAAAAGCATTGCAAATATTTGAGATTAGCAGCTAGCACACAAAAGATATCAGTTGGCCATGCCATAACTTGATCTAAAGCTAAGGGTGGGGGGTTGACGTGATCAAGAATACATGCATTTGACTTGGCATTGAGACAATGTGGCTGGCCTTTAGTGAAGCTTTACATTTAGTGGTCTTTTTCTTTTTGGAAAGTGCCATTATTTAGCTATAAGAAACCAATCGACATATAAGATAAAGAAATACAAGCACATGAATTTAGTCATAAGAAGTAGAAGAAAGTCAGCAATCTACTTTAATCATTTAGATAAAAGAAAGAATAGTAGGGAGAGAAAAATAGCAACTCTATCAAATTTTGATATAAAAACCAAGCCAGATAATGAAAAATTCAAAACCACTTGAATGATATATAAATACAAATACAAAGAGTATCATCAGTAATGCCTTGCCTGAAAAGTAACCCCAATGAACTCCTTGAGTTAAAGTTCATAAAAGCTTCAACAAGCCACATCATAAGTCTACTAATTAAAGAATTTTGAAACCCAACCAACCATCAGACAACATGTTTAAGAAAAATAACAAAGACATGCTAAAGGCATCAATTCATGATACACATAGTGAAGAATCATAGGCAATGTGCTAAACCAATCAAAGAAATTCATATAAAACTCATTTGAGTAAATCCTAACAGTAACAAGGTAATGTGAAAAATCACAAAGAACTTCTAACTAGCCTAACATTATTCCAAAAGTGAAAGCCACACTAAAGTGAGAAACATCATTAATGAGTACTCAGTTGCCATATGAGATCTTCCACAATAAAAGCCAAATTCTAAAGCAAGCAAAATAATTCACAAAATAATCATTTTAGAACTAGAAAGCAGTCATAACAATTCAATGGGTATAGGCAAAAAATATTTCAGATCTTAGCAACACATCAATCAGAGCAGGGGCACATGTATAATAGTCAAAGCAATGTACTAAGTACTAACCTAACTAATAAAAAATAATCAGGGACAAAATATAAAAGTGACATGTACTGACATGTAATGTAAGTAACACAAGCATAATAAGAAGGAGTTGAATCAACAAATGATAAAGACTCAACAAGACCCTAAATAAAATAAACAAATACAAAATAAAGAAAAAGAAACATCAACACCAGAGGAGAAAAATACATTGAAGAGCTTATGAAAGCCCTAAACAAACTCAAACGGCAAAGCCAAAATCATGTGGCAGTGGTGGTTGAATGGTCAATGGCATAGGTAGATGGCTGATGAATGGTGAATAAAGGTGATGCACGACTAAAAAGAAGGGAATCACGATGAAAATGGTAAAGGTAAGCTGAGGTAATGAGTTTAAAAAATGAGGACTGGGGAGGTCATGATAGTGAGGTGGTTAAACATTAAAAAAATGACCAAAACAAGGTTATAGTAAACAAAAGACGTGACAAGTATGGCTGAATTGTGGTGATTGTGTCTGATACTAAAATGAGGGATGATGTGAGGGGTTGACAGGGGGCACGATGGATGACGACAATTAATTAAGGGTTTGATTCAATGATGGCGAACCGTGAATGACGTTAAGGTGACCTAATGGAAACGGTGAATAATGAGAATGGTTAAATAGTGTGCAAGGAAATGGCATGGGGAGGATGAGAAAAGGCTAAGGTTCTCAAAATAAAATTTTGCAAATGATGAAAATGCTAAAATAGGGGTTTTGACAAAAAAAGCTTTCTCAATTCTTTTTCTTTTTTTTAAAAATATTAATATTAAAAATCAAAATTTTGATTTTTAATATTTAATTTTTTTTTAAAACCCCTATTTTCTTTTTCAAAAGCCTTGTTTTAGCATTTTCATCATTTGTAAAAAAATTTTTTGAGAACCCTAGCCTTTTCTCATCCTTTTCATGCCATTTCCTTACACCCTATTCCTTTTATATTGAAAGTTAAGGAAGTTGTTGTTTTTTCCTCCCTACTATTCTTTCTTTTCTCTAGATGATTAAAGTGGATTGTTGACTTTCTTCCACTTCTTGTGACCAAATTCATATGCTTGTATTTCTTTATCTTATGTGTTGGCTGGTTCTTACAGGTACACAAAGGCACCTTCCAACAAGCTTCACTAAAGGCTACTTTGTCCCAAACCAAGCAATCTGCCAAGTCAAGTGAATCTATTCTTGATAATGTAGACTCCCTACCTTTAGCTCCAAATCAAGCTATGCTATAGCCAATTGATACCTTTTGTGCACCAGCTATTGAGCTCAAATATTTGTAATGCTTTTCCAATAATCAACTGGTATAAGAACACGCATTCCCTTATGAAGACCCGCACCTAGCTTATGAAATTATTCAAGCTAACCAGTGCAAACTGCTTTACTTACCTCTAAAAACTAGTTATTTATCTTTGATGTGCAAGTTCTTTACCAATGCTCTATTCTATCTGGAGAGCACATTTTATATAAGAGGCAAACTTGTTCATTTCAACACGGATTCCATACAGGTGTATTATAATCTTCTAGTAATTGACTCTTGTTGCTACCAAGAGTTGATGAAGGACAAGTCAACTTGGCCTTATGAGTTGATCACTAATCGCTTGACTTCATAGAATGCTAAATGGAATTAGAGACTTTTCCATTTAGACTTAGATAATGTTGCTAAGTTTTGACATTACTTTGTCATTCACAATATGTTGCCTACCTCTATATTCATAAAATTGTAAAGGCTAAAGCTATGTTGATATATTGTATCATGACACAACAATCAGTTAACTTAGCAGCCATAATCGACTCCAATCTGATTTCGATGATACAAGCTATGATCCAAGACACCAAGGCTATTAAATTTACCATGATTTATCCTCATCTCATATTTTCCTTGTGTACGGAACAAGGGGTTCTGGCACTCCCTAATGATTTATTAGAGGCGCCATAACCATTTAAGTTGAAGTCCCTTAGGAATGCAATCATTGAAGATAAGACTTTAAATGCAGCTATAGACCAAAAGGTGGAACCTACTAATGATGAGCTAAGTGGATGCCATTCGAGCCATTTGAGGAGCATGTTCTTTAAATGCTTACTGATCTTACTATGCATTAGAGCAAGTCTAACATGATGTCTCTATGTTATGGGATATGGTTGCTACAATTGAGGAATGCTTGTCCCTCGCACCTTTAATGTCCCATTCAAGGGGACTTGCTTTTATCCTTTCTTTCACTTCTCTTTTGATCTAGATATCTATCTGCTCTTTTTAGGAT